ATATATATATATATATATTAATACTTGTCAAGGGCCGACAGCAGTGACTAATCTCCTCGCTACGTTGGAGGCACCTAAAAGGGTGAGATAGCTGGCCCCAAGATTTAACGCGGCTGCATACACAAGGCAGGATTCGAACCCCTGACCTTGCTTAAGTGTGGATCAACCCCTACCGCTGAACCACACGCTTGGAGTTAAACAAATTATCTTTTTAAATATTCTTTTAACATTAGTAACTTTAAACTACAGTTTAAAATTGATGTGTATAATAATTATATGTTTTTAATTAATTTTGATAAAAAAAAATAATACAGAAAAATTTTATATACATACAAATAATGTTATACAATAATTTATGCAACATTATTTTTGTATATATATATTTTCATCATTAATAATGTTTTTATATTATTTCATAATAGAGAGAGAAATGAAGAAAAAATAATATTAATGGGTACATGTCCTGCAGTTTGACCTAAAAAGTCAAGATGAATTAGTTGAAAGAATGAGAAAGAAGGGATTGGTGAGAAAATAAAGAGAATGTGAGAAGAAGAGAATAGTCTTTTGATCTTATCTGATGATTATGAAAGGCGGTGAAGAAGAGTAGAGAGACAAAACGCTGAATCACACTCTCGAATATTCATAACCAAACCAAACCCTCCTCTCTCTTTATTTATTTATTAATAAATTCTTAAAAATATCACTTCATTTAATCTAATTTTTGAAAACTATTTATTATAAGTTTTAATTATAATATAATTTATATATTTTAAAAATATTGTTTATTATAAACTTTAGTATATATATATATGTGTGTAATATCTGTACGTAATATTTACATTTTTTATCATTCAATATAAAAAATTATATTAAAAAGTGTATAAAATTTAAACTCAAATAATTTTTAAAATTATATATATAACAATTTAGAGTGTTTGAGAAAATTATAAAATTAAATCATTTCAACAATTGAGTATTAGATATTTTAATTTTAATTGTGTTATATATTGTTGGTTGTTGTTAGTAATACTGTCTTGGAACACTAGAGCTAAAGGATTCTAAGAATTAAGTTGGTTTTTGAAAAAAAATAGGTTAGGTTAAATTATTTTTGAGTCAATTGTAATTAAAGTTAGTTGAGATAGGTGATATATAAGATTTTTCTTAAACTGCGAACTTCATAAATTCATATTTTAAGGAATTATAGAGAGAGATTAAAGAAAAATTATCTGAATGTTGAAAAACCCTTTTCAATCCCTTATGCCCTATTCATCTCCTACTCTTTCTACAACTAATTGAAGTGGATTTCTTAAAGAGTTTAAACTTTTAGAGTTAGAAGTTTCGAGCCTCAGGTTGTGCGAAAGTCCATTTTTCTCTTGTCCTTTTCTTGATTTGATTCTCTAAGAGATAAAAGAAGCTCTATGATTGAATTCGAATGATGCATGTGATTTTCGTTGTCTTGAATCACTATAATCTTGATTGATATTGTTTGAATTTGTGGGGGTGATAATTTATGGGGTTTTGAGTTGAAGTGTTGAAGTTTTGATCCTTGATGGATATATGTTGTTTTTGGTGATAATTTATGTTGCCTAAATGTTGTATATTGCACTGTATGCGTTTGGATTGCTATATTTTAAGTTGTTTGTATTAAAATCAAGTTTTCCATAAGTGAAAAATTAATGTCGCGTTGGATGTGCTTTTAGGGTGCTAGGCATGATTACAACCAAGAGTTCTGTCTTGGTAGTGAGTCATGATAGTATCAATTCATTTTATTTCTCTAATACAACCAAGTTATGTATAGGCATTTAACTAGCAAGTACAACTAATTTTGCACATTTATGTATTTGATATAATATTATATATATTTCTACAGGATGTGTACCTAGTATGTGGGAATTTTATTTTCAATTATTTATTTTTTACTTAATATTAATTATATTTCTTTAATTTCTTATTATCATTTAAAATTTCATAAAATATTTTCAAATCTTATAAATCATTATAATATAAATCAATTAAAATTTGCATTTTAAAATTTTAATTATAAAAATTGTTTAAAAATACTCTTAAAAATGGTAATAAAATTTCTTAATTTTAATTGTTTTATTTTTGAATAACTTTAACACGATAATCATTTATTAATTCAATTAATTCAATTCCTCTAAAATCATTAAGTACTCAAATAAAATACTAGAAAACATTAATTCAGCTACATAAAAGAATCAAAATCTTTCATATTCATGAATTTAAAAGATGAAACAATCAACTATTGTCTAAACCGCATCAAAGATTCGTCTTTGTACGCGACGCCCCGACCTCGATGTTCACCTCGGTTCTTGTCCACCCTCCGATGCCCCTCTCTCTCTCTCTAACTCTCTCTCTCTACAAAGTTTATTTAGAATTTTGATTCTAATCTCAGATTAGATCACATAAATTTTCATTGTCACAAAACAGAACCCCATTCTCTATATATTCCCCCTCAAACTGTTTTCCCTCTCACACCCCCTAAACTCAAAACTCTCCAACACAAAATCAAAAAAGAAATAAAAAAAAATAAAAAAAAACCCCTCACAGAAACTTGTTTCAATGCAATTCAGCCAGAAAATGGGGTTACGTGAGTACATCGAAGCATTGGAGGAAGAAAGGAGAAAAATCCAAGTTTTCACCAAGGAGCTTCCTCTGTCGTTGGAGCTTGTAACGCAAGGTAATCCTCCAAAAGAATGCATTAAGGGACACCCTTTTGTGATGTCAAGTTAAAGGTTGTTCCTTTTGTTTCTGGGCATGTTCAATTTTTTTAATTTATTTTTATGTGGGTTTTGATTTGTGTAGGTGAATTTGATGCAGCCATTGAAGCGTGTAGGCAGCAACGAGGTAAAATTAAAATTCCAAAAAAGTATTTATTGTTTTAGTTTTTAGTGAGAAAACTTAAAAAATGTTTTTTTTTTATAATTTTTTTTTATTAAGGATGACACATGTTGTAATAATAAAAGGAATACAAATAACGGATAGGAAACAATTAATAAATAATAATTATATTAATTAAGATCAAATAATTTAATAATAATAATAATAATAATAATAATTAATAGATTCGTTCCCCTTCTCCCTTTATTCCTATCGGAGGAAGCAAACCAACAGAAGCATAGTCGTCGTCATCACCACCCAAAAATCTCAGTGAAAGCTTCACACCCTTTTTTTTTTTTTTCTTCTTCTTCTTCTTCATCTTTGAAATCTCTCTCTATTCTTCAACCCTTTCTCACAAAATTCCAAAATTTGTCTTCCCAGGCACACGCCCCAGGTATTTGAATAATCTTCCACACCCTTTTCCTGTTATTTCAAGAAACCCCTCTTTTTCTTAATTTCGAATCGGAAACCCTAGACCCCATAACCCCAATTTCCGCCTCCGCAATTAGCTTCCGAACTTCGGGGGAAAGCCCAAAAATAAAATAAATTTGGGATGTCGCCCCGCAAACCCTAGTTCTGGATCTTGCTTCGGAGTTCAAATTTTGGCGCTTTTTCTTGCATTAGGTTCGTTTTTTGGGTTTTTGCAATTTAACGTTCAATTTCACGGTTTTTGGACGATTAAGTATGTGTGTTGGCTTCAAGTTTGGATTTTGCAACCGAAGAAGTTTGTTTCATTTGGTGCCCTAGTTAGTTCATAGGGTAAAATTAACTAGTAGGTGTTTTGAGTTGGGAGGGAAAGAAGTTATTAGTGAAAGGGTATATATTTGTTTATTGCCAATGAGTTTTGGACTATTATTATGGATCAGAATTGATTTGCTACTTTCTGTTGTCTCTTGTAATTTATTGCTTCAGATATGGGCTGGGGTTACAATTCTGTCTACTACAGAATGATTGATCACAACAAGTTTATATTCTAGTTTGAAGAATTGGCCCTAATCATATAGGTACACTTTTCATTGGCATTTGTCTCTTGGAAAGCCTTTGATGGAAAGGTTCCAATTTAAATAGCCGCGTGCTATGTTGGTATCTAAGATTTTATTCGCCTATGGTTTTAGCATTAATGTGGTAGAGAAGATGTTTCTGAGGGTGTATGTTTAAAATTTTCGACCTGCTTGGTTGTGTTATGTTTGCATTTTTTTTGTTGAAGGAACTGTGGTTTTATCTAGGGGTATGGATGCTAAGTTCAAGTTGCTTCAATTTTCTTTCCTCTAGCACCTGGGTTGGGTTTTATCTTGTGAAAACTGGACTCAGTGTTTTGTATTCTGCCATTTTCCGAATTATGTTTCATGTTTAGTTAGCATTTTAAAAGCAGTGTGCAGAATGTAGTTTGGTTTTATGGTTTATTTGGGGCAGCGTATTTTTAATTGTTATCCATTTTGTATTTGTATGCTCACAAATAAAAAAAAAACAAATTTCTGCCTGCGTCTAAAATTTGTGATATATAATTTTTAGTGCATTAGGGATTTCGATACATATCCTTTAGCAGCTGAAGGAAGTCCAATAATGCTTGACATAAGCATTAATCTTTTTAATTTCAATTATGCATCCTGTTTCCTTTGCTTCTTTTAATGTATCTTTTTGTTTGCTTTATTGGCATTGGTTTGAAATGACATGGGTGACATGTTGATCATGCAGTTTAGCTATTACAGCTACTTGAGGTATGATGCCGAGGGCAGTATGCTGGTCATAGTTGGGGGAAATGCAAAGGTATCATGCTGGCAGCTGCACTAGTGCAGTTAATAACAACACAATCGGAGGGCCATCTGCTAGGGACACAGGAAGATCTGATTCACCTTCTTTGCCAGCTAACTTCTCTGTTAGTTCAAGGTAAGGGAAATTCCTTCTGACACTATCCACTTATTGCCACTTCCTTCTTATCAATGATTGTGACTATATCATGTGATAGAGGAACTACAAATTCCAAATAGTTGTGGTTGTGATGCAGAGTGGTTTGCTTTAATATATTTTCTTTTTCTGTTATCTAATAATATGCGTTTATGTTAATGATTTTTTCCTTCTTTTTTCACTTGCTAACATCATTTTGAAAACTGTGAAGCTATTTCGTTCATTTATTTTTTGCGTGGTCAGAATCCAGATAATTATTATATCTTGAATTTTCAGTTCTTATGCATTTAATTGCTTAAGAGTGTTCTCGGATCGCAACCAATCAAATATTCTTTTCTTTTTGTTTTCTTTACTGCTACCTCCATTCCTATATATGGGGCGCGATTACCTAATTCACCAAGATTAAGAAAAGTAGTTAATTTAGTTGGTAACAATAAATTTGTCCTATTTATACATTTTCTTCTAGAAGACTAAAACTACCTTTATACTACTTCTCTTTCCTAATCAATACTTATATATCTTCTAACCAATTAGTGTGCATGCTTATACTATTTATCTCTCCTATTTAATACTCACCTTTTTTTTAACCAATTAAAGTGCATACTTTTTGAAGAATTAGTAATTAATGCATTTTATTAAATTAAGATAACACACTTTAATTTGGGCTATTTTAGTCTAAATATAATTAATGTATGAGACAATATGAATTGGGTCTTATGGAAGAACAAAAATTGTTCTGAGTTGGGTCCTAATTCCTAAATAAGAATGGAGGTAGTATTATTCTGTCTACTTTTGATGCTCTGCTTGGGTGGTAAAATGGGCAAGCACTATTAGATTACATATCCATATTCGTAAGTCGTAACCATAGTTATCAATCTCAGTTAGTGGTGTGAAATGACTGACTCCAAAACTGCTTTAGTAGGATAGTGGGTAGTGGGGTGTGATGTTCTGGGATGCACATTGGTTAATTTATAATACACATGTATAAATACTCAAATAAAAAAAACCCAAATTTAGAGACATTTATAATAAATAATCAAAAGTCAGAACTTGAAGCTAAACACACATCAGATAAACATGAAACACCTGTTTCACAATGGAGTCTGCTATCAAACCAAAACAAAGGAACAGAGAAGGGATGCTGAGACAACAGATAACAGAGGATAGAATGCCAGAGGAGGGCCATTGAGTTCAACAGGCTTGCCGGAAAGTGTGACAATAAGGCTAGAAAAGTCAAAGTTACTGCTGGAGAAGGGAGGTGATCTTGGTTCATCCAGATTCAGTGTGTCACACACAGCAAACTTATATGCCAAAACTAGGATTTTTTTATTAACGGATTAACCGCGAAAAAGCGTGAAATTGAAGATTACCCTCCAAAAAATCCTGTAAATGTATTTGTTACAGGGGTAAAACTGAGTTTTTGAACCCACACTGCCACCAGATAAACATCAGCTCTTATGTTCTTGAATTGTTTTAGTTGTGTCGCCATTGTGCACTAGTGGCCTTGACATGCACTGCAATTGCAGCTGTGGACCAGAAACCATGAGTTCACCTGCACTCTCTAGCTCCCAGGGCTGCACTGCAGTGCCCCACTGCTATAGGACGCCCAATCTTGTGAAAATAGAGATCTAGCACAGGATCAGGAGAGGGGGGGGGGTAAAAGATTGCAAAATTGAAGGATTGTAAGATCCTCCGAAGAGATGCAAAATTTAATATAAAAATATACATGTGATTAAAAGACATAGGCATAAGATTGAACTAAACCTTGTGATTAAAAGACATATGCATAAGTTGAACTAAACCTAAGATTGTTGCGGAGCAGATCTTGTGATTTTGGATGAGGAAGATCATGATCCGCAACAATCTTTACGAAACTTGATCCTTGGCCTTGGGTCAATCTTGCACAGGATTTGGGGTTGAAAAAGCACATGATTTTTCCTTGCAATCTTATCCGCATTTTTTGGCAACCTCTAGTACCCTATTAATTCTGCTCATAAAGAACAAGGACCAAAAATGTTAGTTGTGAGAAAATTGGTAAATACAGGATTGAAAAGTTTTCATTAATTTAATTATTTTCTTTCTGTATAATGGTTATTTATGCAATTTTGTATCCTATTTAGAATTTTATTCTTCTAAAAAAATTTCTATTTTTAATGTGTGATTTTTAAGTAATATTTTAGGAACGAATTAATTGACTATCTGCCTGGATGTGATGACTTAATAAATGTAGGAAATGTTAAATGTTAATTCATGTTTTTGGCCTTTTTAATTTAAGTTCTGTTTTTATTCTGCAAAGTTAGCAAGTATTTTGGATTGGTTATATAAAGAAAAATAATTTATTGCAGCGTGACTTATATAAAAAAATAAGAATTTGGTTATATAAAAAAAAGAAGGAATTTATTGAGTCGGATAAAAAATATTACAAAGTGGAAGGAGCTATTGTAACAATGGTTTGTATAGTTTTAATAAAGAACTAAAATGGAAAAGCACAGGTTGGGAGTTGCGTTTTGTTCCTACCATTTGGTTAATAATAATGACATTTTAAATTCAGATTTTGATAATCAAAATATGAATTTAAAATGTCATTATATTTACTTGCTTTTGAAGTGTCGTTTATATTTGTTTGATCTAGTGTTGCTGAACTTTCTTTTTACAGAGTTCGCATTTTTATATTCACTATTCAGTAATAAAGTGGGATATTGATTTTTCTAGTATGCTAAATCAGAGATCTGATGCTTTTAACCACATTGAACACACTGTTTTTCATTTGCAGGCGGCAACCACCATTAAACCCATACAAGTTGAAGTGTGATAAAGAACCCTTGAACTCTAGGTATTTCCCTGTTCATAATAGCACGACTTTTGTGTTCTATTATCTTGTTTGTTAACATGTAAAATGCTATCATTTGTCAGGCTTGGGGCACCAGACTTTCATCCCCAAACGCCAAATTGTCCTGAGGAGACTCTTACCAGAGAATATTTGCAATCTGGATACAGGGATACAATAGAAGGACTTGAGGTATGCCATTAAGTGCTTGTTTGCGAAAGCTTAAATTTTGAGACGTAATTGTTTTTTTTTAAATCACTTAGGAGGCTGAGAAGAAAAATAGTTTCTTCAAAAACTAAACAAAGCATGCACTAAATCTTAGTTTTGTATTAATACCAAATCAAGTATTTTCAAGTAGCAACTTAGCTTGATTAGGTTGTACTTCTCCAGTTATCCATTTCTTGTTTTTTTAAAGTTTGAATTCATTTTACTGAACCCTCATATTTCTTATGTTTATATTTTTGATCGAAGCTTATGTCCCCAGTAATAGGATGTTTGGAACTGTAATCTGGCATTTTCTTGATATCTTTTATTTTTTCCATTAATCAATTTCTTCATTCTTTCATAAAGGAAATATATTGGTACATACCCAGCACTTTTCTTCTCCTTTGCATTTCCATCGTAATTTTTTTTTACATGCTACAGTGATCTCAATGTATTCAATTTTTGTTGCTGTCTTTTCATTTCAGCCCTTTTTCTTCCAAAGAACTAGTTTTGCTTTTACGCTATGATCCCCAGCTACAGGGATTAGATAAGGAATAACTACAATACGGCATGTATAATAAGTCTGGTGTTTTTCATTTATCAAAATGGGTTATCTAAGTTTTGGCGCATATTATAATTGCTAATGTTGTTGTAGGTATTTCTAATATTTTGTATGCTGGTGTGATGATCCAACATTTGGATTATCTGTTTGTATCTGTGCTAGTGTCAAGTGGAGTTGATATTACAGATTTTCCTTTTAAACTTCTTATCTGTATATGCTTCTGTTCAATGCAATTGAAATAGTGATCTAGGCATGCATACATTCTTGAGAATCATAGCTCTCCTTTACGAGTCAGCTAAAATATAGGAATCTAATTGTACTTTCAGAAGAATAGATTATTTTCAACTGTTCATACCTGCCTTTTTTTGTCCGGTGTCTGCTATTTTCTAACATTGCCTTGCTTCCTGTGTCTGTTAGGAAGCCAGAGAAATTTCACTGACCCAGGTTCCGAATTTTAACAAGCAAATTGTTCTTAATTGCAAAGAGGTGACTATTATCTCATGTCTTATTGGAGATATTTATGCCCCTTTTATTTTTGTTTATACATCCGAGCACTGACTTAACTGCACATCTCCATTTTTTTGGGTATTCATTGGAAGCCTATGTGGATATTGGTTAACTTGTTAATTTTTCAACTAATTTACAGGCTATTAGAAAACGTCTGAGGGCCATCAATGAATCTCGTGCTCAGAAGAGGAAGGTGACGATCTTTTAGTCTGTCTTTGTCATTTTTTTATCCTTGCTTAACATCCTACTTCTACCATATTATGTTCTTTCTTCTAGCTTATTTTGGATTTAGTGCAGTCTACCGCTGTCTATCTCAGTTTGTTGTGAAGGTGTTTGATTTACATGATAGTGTTTGATTTGACAGGCTGGTCAAGTATATGGTGTGCCTCTTTCAGGATCACAACTTGCCAGGTCAGGCGTTTTCCCTGAACTAAGGCCTTGTGGTGAGGACTTCCAGAAGAAATGGATTGAGGTATACTTAGTGATAGTCTTGCTCCTACTGTTTTCTCCTGTGCAACTTCCTGTATACCAGCTGTGGCCCCACATATTTGTTTCTGATACATTTTTTGTTATATTTATATGAATAATAAAAGACAAGATTTTGAATTGTTTGTACTAGATGGCTGTAGTCTTGATGTGATTGGTTGCAGGATGTGAATATGGAGGGATGTGGAACTTTTGTATGCTGAATAGTCCAGACAGGCTTTAGCTATTTATGAGTTTCCTCAATTTAGGAAACTGGTATATATAAGTTACAATGACCAATTCCTTAGGATTTTTGTTGTTAATGCCGACAGGTTGTTGTGGCTGTAAAATCTGTGAATACTAATTTTTGAATGTTACTTGGTGGTTCAATGTGTTGGGATATTATTGATGCTAGTATCTTAGTAACTCAGTTAAAACTTTATTATAGGGTTTATCTCAACAGCACAAGCGATTACGCACTTTGGCCGATCATGTTCCTCATGGTTATAAAAGGACATCACTTTTAGAGGTTCTTATCAGGAACAATGTTCCATTGCTGAGGGCCACCTGGTTTATCAAGGTTACTTACCTCAATCAGGTAGGGAGGCTTCAATGTTTGTATATTTACATATTATGCTGAGTTACTTTATGTTTTTTAATATTTGAAGGTACAATGTGATTGAACTTTTCAGGTTCGACCCGGATCTGCTGGTATTTCTTCTGGGACTGCTGACAAGATTCAGCTGTCTCGTTCCGATGTTTGGACCAAAGATGTTATCAATTACTTGCAAACTCTTCTGGATGAATATTTATCAAAGAATGCTTCCCATTCTGCTTCTCATGGTCGAGAGCGATCACCACAAATGCCTTATACTGGATCATTGCAGAATAAAAGTGAACCATTATTATCTGTTTCTGATGGTGAAAGGCCATCCTTACATTTTAGATGGTGGTATATTGTGCGTCTACTGCAATGGCATCATGCTGAAGGGCTGCTTCATCCTTCTCTTGTCATTGATTGGGTGTTTAATCAACTACAGGTATTTTACCTTGTACATCATTTACATATAGCAAGTATAATGTGCTAATGAAAGTAAAAGTGTGATGTATATATCTTTTACTGATTTCAATCTTCACATTTTGATTTTTCACATCTCTGTTCCTTTCAGGAAAAAGAACTGCTTGAGGTTTGGCAGCTGTTATTGCCTATTATTTATGGTTTTTTAGAAACTATTGTTCTATCTCAAACTTATGTACGAACTCTTGCTGGATTAGCTCTTCGTGTCATTCGTGATCCTGCTCCAGGTGGTTCAGATCTAGTAGATAATTCCAGGAGGGCATATACAACTTATGCACTGATTGAGATGCTCCGATATTTAATACTTGTGGCACCAGATACTTTTGTTGCTTTGGATTGCTTTCCATTACCATCCTCTGTAATTTCACATATAATGAATGATGGGAGATTCGTACTAAAATCAACTGAAGCTGCTGGGAAGATTAAAAATAGTTCAGATGATTTTGGTCACATTATTTCATGCATTCAGAAACATACAGAAGATCTTGCAAAGGCTGCAAGCCCAGGCTATCCAGGTAATTGTCTGGCTAAAGTTGCAAAAGCCTTGGATAAAGCTCTTGTGCTGGGTGATTTGCGTGTGGCATATAAATTTCTTTTTGAAGATCTTTGTGGTGGAACTGTATCTGAAGGCTGGGTTGCAAAAGTCAGCCCTTGCTTAAGGTTATCTCTGAAATGGTTTGGGACTGTAAATACACCCCTTATATATTCAGTGTTTTTCCTTTGTGAGTGGGCAACTTGCGATTTCAGGGATTTCCGTTCTACCCCTCCTCGTGACATAAAGTTTACAGGTAGGAAAGATATTTCCCAAGTGCACATAGCAGTTAGACTTTTAAAGATGAAGATGAGGGATGTGAAGATTTCCCTAAAACAAACAAATGAAATTCACCGAGCCAGTCATTTTGCAAAGAATTCAAGTCAGCGGCGTAATTGGAATCATGTGGGTAATTGGAATTATGTGGGTAATGTATCCAAATTGAAATCTAGCTCAAAAAGTAAAGGTTCTTCAGTTATATTTGAAAGCCCGGGTCCTCTACATGATATTATAGTTTGTTGGATTGATCAGCATGTGGTGCATAAAGGGGAAGGTCCTAAGCGCCTACATCTATTTATAGTGGAACTCATACGTGCTGGAATCTTTTACCCTTTGGCATATGTACGCCAACTGATAGTGAGTGGGATCATGGATGTGAATGTAAATGTGGTTGACCTGGAGCGACGGAGGAGACACTATCGCATCTTAAAGCAGCTACCTGGATGCTTTATCCATGATGTTTTGGAAGAATCAGGGATTGTTGAAGGGCAACAGCTCAAAGAATCCTTGCAAATTTACTTGAATGAACGCCGCCTCATACTTCGGGGTCCACTGAGTGACCCCCATGATGACGCCAGTGGCACCAATTTATCTGCTCTAAAGAAAAAACAATTTCCAGCTTCTACAAAGGATGAAGCTTCTGCAGTGACAATTGATCAGAAGAGGAGAACTGTTATTTCTACCACAGTATCTTCTAATAATGCAAAGGATAATGCTACTGTTGAAGAACTAAAAACAGCTATCTCAGTACTGTTACAGCTACCTAATTGTTTATCTAATTTGAGCACTACAGGTTGTGATGATTCTGATGGCAGTGTTAGAAGACCTATTGGGTCTCATTACAGCAAGAATGATCCAGTGGAGGGTACACCTGGGTGTGAAGAATGTAGCAGAGCAAAGAGACAAAAGTTAAGTGAGGAAAGAAGCTCATTTGTTCAAGGGCATTCTCCAGTTCAATCTGATGATGACGATACATGGTGGATGAAAAAGGGAATGAAATCCCTAGAGCCTACCAAAGTTGATCAGCCACAAAAGTCAACCAAGCAGGTCACCAAGAGTCGGCAGAAGAATGTGCGTAAAACTCACAGTCTTGCTCAACTGGCAGCTTCTAGAATTGAGGGTAGCCAAGGGGCGTCAACTAGTCATGTGTGTGGTAACAAGGTAAGCTGCCCCCACCATAGAACTTCTGTGGATGGAGATGGGCAGAGGTCTGTGGATAGCATCCGGACAAGTCATTTTGGGGATATAGTTTCCATTGGAAAAGCATTAAAGCAGTTACGCTTTGTTGAGAAAAGGGCAATAGCAGTTTGGCTGTTGACTGTTGTTAGGCAGGCAATTCAAGAGATGGAAAAAAATGTTGGTAAAGTTGGTCAGTTTGGCAGGCCTTTTGCTGTTGTGGATGATAAAAGCACAATACGGTGGAAACTTGGTGAGGACGAACTTTCTGTGATACTTTATTTGATGGACATTTCTGATGATTTGGTTTCAGCTGTCAAATTCCTCCTTTGGTTGCTGCCAAAGGTTCTTAATAGCCCCAATTCTACCATTCATTCTGGGAGGAATGTGCTGATGCTACCAAGGAATGTGGAAAACCATGTTTGTGATGTGGGAGAGGCTTTTCTGCTATCGTCACTCAGGAGGTATGCAGCTCTACAATCAATTATATTTATATAGTTTTTGTTTGCAGTCTCTTGGAAAATATTTTTATTTTGCTCTTCCCCCATCCAGCATTGCCTGTTATTAGAGAAGAGATTATATTACTAAATATCTTTATTAGTTCTGTTTTAATATTGCATATCTTTTCTATATCTTTTCTGTATCTTTTCTGTTTTTCTGTTTACTGTTACCAACTCATCAAGTTGGCTAGATTGTTAGGTCTATATATGTAAGTGATATCCCACAGATATCACTATCCTATTTTCCAATCATAATACAGTATATTGATTTTCTCTCAACTCTCTCTCTCAACTCTCTCTCTCATATGGTATCATCGTGAGCACGGTGAGATCCGGGCTTCTTCCCTCCCAGTTTGTGTGGCTTTGCCTTTCGCGCCCTCCTTGCGCGCTGCCTCTGTATCTCGCGCCTCCTTCGCGCGTTCTGATCGCGCGATTCCCTGTTTGCTCGCGTCCTCTCTGTTCGACTTCGCAGCGCTGCTTCGTTTGATTTCTGCTCGCACTGGTCTTGCGCGTCTTCTTGTGATCTTTCTCTCTGATTTGCTCCAATGGCCTCCGCTTCCGCAACCTCCAACAATTCTGTCTCGCACACCTTCTCGCAATCTGTCACATGCAAACTGGATGACAGGAATTTTTTAACTTGGCAGCAACAGGTTAACGCGGTAATTCGCGCACACGATCTGGAACGATTTGTTGTCAATCCCAAAATCCCGCTGAAGTTTCTTACTGCTGAGGATCGTGATGCCAATGCCATCAATCCCGAATACACTGTCTGGGATCGCAAGGATTCTCTGCTGTTTTCCTGGCTTCTCACAACACTCTCCGAACCAATTCAGGCTCGTGTTGTCTCATGTCGTCATTCATATCAGATTTGGGACATGGTGTTTCAGCATTTTCAGTCACTCACCAAAATCAAAGCCACACAGTTACGTTTAGAGCTTCGCACCATTAAGAAAGGCACAAGATCGTGTTCAGATTATCTCCTTCGCATTAGTACTATTGTTGAGACTCTTGCTTCAATTGGCAGTCCCGTTTCACCTAGAGAACATGCTGAGTGCATTCTTGGTGGTCTCCCACCTGAATATGACTCTCTGATTTCAACTGTCACTGCGTTCATCAGCCGTGATGACATCCTTTCTCCTACTGAAATTGAAAACATGATTCTTGCTCAGGAAGCAAGACTTGAACAAGCAAAAGCTGCTGTCGTCCAAGAACCCCTATCCATCAATCTTGCTCAAGCCACTCCTGTCCCAACTGGTGTGCCTAACGTCAATTTGGCTTTCCAGCAACCCCAGATGTCAAACCCTTCACCTAATACTGTTCAGAATTTTTCACCTCAGCCCCAAGCTGGCTTCAATAATCATGGAGGACGTGGTCGTGGATCTCGTGGAGGACGAAATCGTGGGTCCACTGTTCAATGCCAAATTTGTCACAAACGTGGACATGAAGCCTCCACGTGCTATCAGCTTTCCCATAGTCTATCCATGGGTGGTTTTCGGTTGCCTTTTCATTCTTTGTTTACTCCTTACCCCACCTATGGTCCCAATTCTCAATCTGGGTATGTGCCTCAGCACCCTGGTCCTAGTGCTGCTCCATACTATGGAACTGTTAATATGCTTGGACAGTCTGGTCCTGTCCCATGGCCCTCTTATCCTTTGGGTGGCTCCTTTTCTGGTCCTGGTATTCCACCTCCTGGATTCACCTTTCCTGCAGTAACCTCCAATCAGTCTAGCCATTCACGCACTGCTCCTCCTGCTCAACATGTTCATGCTCCTCCAACTCTTAACACTGCCACCGCATGGATCCCAGATTCTGGTGCTTCTCACCATGCAACCCCAGACCCTCAATACCTTCTACAGAGCGCTCAATTCACTGGTGCAGAACACATTGCTATGGCCAATGGCCAAGGTACATCTATTGCCTCAATAGGTTCTAATATGTTTCAGTCCCCTATGCATCCCTCCAAAATTTTGTCCCTCAAAGACCTTTTACTTGTTCCCAGTTTAACCAAAAATCTAATAAGTGTTTCAAAATTTGCTAAAGACAACAATGTCTACTTCGTTTTCTATCCTCATTCCTGTTTTGTCAAATCACAGGATTTGAACGAGACTCTTCTTGAAGGGAAACTTGGTGAAGATGGTCTCTATCATTTTCACCCGCATCTAGCAAAGAAGAAATCCTTCACTGTTGACATTGAGCAGAACTCAGCCTTTCCAAAATCTGATCCTTGTATTTTTCTTTCTGCAAAATGTAATCATGGTGTTTCAAATACCTATAAACAGTGGCACTTACGGTTAGGGCATCCTCATCATGATTCCCTAACTAAAGCTTTACAAACTTGTAATATTCATCTTCCAACTATTAATAAAATTTCTGACTTTTGTGACTCATGCTGTATTGCCAAGTCTCATAGACTTCCTTCTCAACTATCTACTACTGTTTATTCCAATCCACTTGAACTTGTTTTTCTAGATGTTTGGGGACCTGCATCATTAGAATCTAGTTGTGGTTATTTGTATTTTCTAACGTGTGTAGACGCCTGCACCAAATACATGTGGATTTATCTCCTTCGTAGAAAATCAGATGTGTACTCCAATTTTCAAAATTTTAAGGCCCTGGCTGAGAAACAATTCCAAACACCTCTCAAATCTGTTCAAACGGATGGTGGAGGTGAATTTCGCACTCTAATTCCATTTCTTCAACAAGAAGGCATTATTCACAGACTCACTTGTCCCTATGCTCATCATCAAAACGGCACTGTTGAACGAAGACACAGACATGTCGTTGAACTTGGATTGGCAATGCTTCATCATTCGGCCTTGCCACTAAAATTTTGGGATCATGCCTTTTTAACTGCTACCTACTTAATCAACAGACTACCTTCCTCCTCTATTGAATTTCAATCACCCTATAAATTGATTCATAACAAGGATCCAGACTATAAGTTTCTCAAGGTTTTTGGCTGTTCCTGTTTTCCATTACTCAGACCCTATAATCAACACAAAATTCAACCCCGGTCCGAAGAGTGTCTATTCTTAGGATACTCACCTAGTCATAAAGGTTACAAGTGTCTAAGCAGATCTGGCCGAATCTATATCAGCAAAGATGTGATCTTCAATGAAGACAGATTTCCCTATACTGATCTCTTTATTTCAAAAAATCAAACCTCTACCCCTGCCACCTCTGTCTCTATTCTTCCCTCTCTTGTTTGTTCACACAACCCACCTTCCTCTCCTGTGATATCACCTGCCATCTCTGCCAGTTTTAGTTCCTCTGAGTCTAATTCCTTTCCCTCTTCTACACCTGACAGCACTACTTCCCTTACTGTTTCATCCTCTTCAAATTCACCTCCAGCCACAACTCTTAATGTTCACCCTATGACTACTCGCTCAAAAAATGGGATTGTTCAACCCAGAATTAACCCTACACTTTTGCTGTCCAATGTTGCACCAAAAACTGTCAAAACTGCTCTTACTGATCCCAATTGGCTTGCTGCCATGCAAGCTGAAATCACTGCTCTGCATGCCAACCGTACATGGACCTTAGTTGAGTTACCTCCTGGCCGAAAACCCATAGGCTGCAGATGGGTCTTTCGTATTAAAGAGAATCCTGATGGCTCCATTAACAAGTACAAGGCCAGACTTGTGGCCAAGGGCTTTCATCAGCAACCTGGTGTTGATTTTTCTGAAACCTTCTCTCCTGTGGTTAAGCCTGTCACCATCCGGATTGTTCTCTCCCTTGCTGTAACCTTTCAGTGGCCACTTCGACAACTTGATATTAATAATGCATTCCTCAATGGAATGCTTGAAGAAGACATTTACATGTCTCAGCCTCCCGGCTTCATTGAACCCAGTAGTAAGCATCTTGTTTGCAAACTACAAAAGTCTCTCTATGGTCTCAAACAGGCCCCCCGTGCCTGGTTTGACAGATTAACTTCTGTCTTGCTAAAGCTTGGTTTTCACAAGAGTAAGTGTGATCCTAGCTTGTTCATTTTTTCTACTCCATCTGCCACTATTTACATGCTTGTTTACGTGGATGACATTATCCTCACTGGCAATTCCCCCTCCTTGTTGCAAAAGTTCATTGATCATCTCAATGAAACTTTCTCTCTCAAAGATCTTGGTAGTCTAGACTACTTCTTGGGTATTGAAGTTAAAACACTCTCTACTGGGCAGTTACTACTATCTCAACACAAATACATTTCAGATCTTCTTACCAGAGTTAAAATGGAAGACTCTAAGGGAATCTCCACTCCTATGATTGGTGGTCAGCAACTTGCTAAAACAGGAATCTCGTTTGATGATCCTACTTTGTATAGATCTGTAGTTGGTGCATTGCAATATGCAACAATTACACGACCTGAAATTGCCTTTAGTGTCAATAAGGTAAGTCAGTTCATGTGCTCTCCAATGGAGGAGCATTGGAAAGTGGTCAAAAGGATACTTAGGTATCTCAAAGGGACTCTTAAATATGGTCTTGTTTTTACTCCTGCTCGGTCATCCTCCTTCTTCAATCTTACTGCCTTCACTGATGCTGATTGGGCATCTGATCCCAATGACAGGAGATCTACCTCGGCTGCCTGCATTTATCTTGGCCCTAATCTGGTGTCTTGGTGGTCTAAGAAACAACTGCTTGTTGCAAGGTCAAGCACTGAAGCTGAATATCGTGCTTTAGCTCAAGCCGTCACTGAGGTCTTGTGGATCCAATCCCTTCTAAAGGAACTGAAAGTTCATCTAAACACTCCTACAGTGCTCTGTGATAATCAAAGCACAGTAGCACTGTCTCACAATCCTGTTCTACACGCAAGATCTAAGCATATGGAACTTGACATCTTCTTTGTTCGAGAAAAAGTCATCAGTAAAGCTCTGGTTGTCTCACATATTCCTGCTCAGCATCAATATGCAGATCTTTTAACCAAGGCACTGTCTCCCAAGCGTTTTCTGTCGCTGCGTTCCAAGCTCAATGTTGCTGATCCATCAGATCTGTCTCATCCTCCTTGAGCTTGTGGGGGGTGTATTAGAGAAGAGATTATATTACTAAATATCTTTATTAGTTCTGTTTTAATATTGCATATCTTTTCTATATCTTTTCTGTATCTTTTCTGTTTTTCTGTTTACTGTTACCAACTCATCAAGTTGGCTAGATTGTTAGGTCTATATATGTAAGTGATATCCCACAGATATCACTATCCTATTTTCCAATCATAATACAGTATATTGATTTTCTCTCAACTCTCTCTCTCAACTCTCTCTCTCATACCTGTTAACTAATGTGATGTTTTCAATTGCTTAGCACCTTTAATATGTGTGATGTATAAATACTAAAGTACCTGGTAAAGCTTTTTATATTTGTTTCTTCTTATATGCACCCATTTCTTGTCATATTTAATCAGGTCAGTATTGATGAAATCTGCATTGCTCTCATTTACTCAAAACTTCCTAAATAAATTCATATACTTGCAAATTAACAACATAAATAATTGTTCTTGTTATAAGGGGTCCAGTCGCAAGTTTTAACATAATATTATGGTACTAGTTTGCTGAACCTTCAGTGAGGTTTCTACACCTTTTATGGGCCATTGCCCCCTGGGGAATATTATTGTTTTTATCATTCAATCACTGCTTCACCAGTAGTGTTTTCCTTCTGTTCTTTTTGCTTGTGTTGGACTGGACAGTTTCTTTATAAATTTTTGGAATGAGATTATATCAAAATTGTCTTCTGCAATGTATTTGGTGTAGGTATGAGAACATTCTTGTTGCAGCAGATCTTATTCCCGAAGCTTTGTCATCTGCAATGCAACGTGCTGCTACTGTAATTTCATCTAATGGAAGGGTTTCAGGGTCAGGGGCTATGGCTTTTACTCGGTATTTGTTGAAAAAATACAGCAATGTGGCTAGTGTCATTGAGTGGGAGAGAAATTTTAAAACTACATGTGATGCAAGACTTTCCTCTGAACTTGAGTCTGGTAGGTCAGTTGATGGGGAGTCAGGGTTGCCTCTAGGAGTTCCAGCTGGAGTAGAGGACCATGATGATTTTTTCCGTCAGAAGATAAGTGGCAGTCGGTTACCATCCAGAGTAGCTGTAGGCATGAGGGACATAGTTCAGCGTAATGTAGAAGAAGCGTTGCACTATCTTTTTGGAAAAGATAGAAAGCACTTTGCTGCTGGTACACCAAAAGGTCCTTCTTTAGAAAAATGGGATAATGGATATCAAATTGCTCAACAAATAGTTGTGGGTCTGATTGATTGCATAAGACAGACTGGTGGTGCCGCTCAAGAAGGAGATCCCTCTTTGGTCTCTTCTGCTGTTTCTGCAATTGTTGGCAGTGTAGGTCCAACCTTAGCAAAAATGCCTGATTTTTCATCTGGCAATAATCATTCAAATACAATATTGGCTACAAATTCATTGAACTATGCCAGGTGCATTCTGCGAATGCACATAACCTGTTTATGCCTGCTTAAGGAAGCCCTGGGAGAGCGCCAAAGCCGTGTATTTGATATTGCTCTTGCTACAGAAACTTCTACTGCTCTTGCTGGTGTTTTTACTCCTACTAAAGCATCTCGTGCTCAGTTTCAAATGTCTCCTGAAGGCCATGATACTAGTAGCACTGTTTCAAATGATACAGGAAGCAACTCTAATAAAGTTGTGGTTGCAAAAACAACAAAAATTGCTGCCGCTGTTTCTGCACTTCTTGTTGGTGCAATTATATATGGTGTTACCAGCCTGGAAAGAATGGTAACAGTTCTCAGATTAAAGGAGGGGTTGGATGCAGTACAATTTGTAAGAAGCACTAGATCCAATTCAAATGGAAATGCTCGTTCAGTTATGGCTTATAAGGTGGATAGTTCAATTGAAGTTCATACCCATTGGTTTAGATTGCTTGTTGGGAACTGCAGAACGGTCTGTGAAGGGTTAGTGGTGGAACTCTTGGGTGAACCATCTATTATGGCTCTTTCAAGGATGCAACGTATGCTCCCTCTAAATTTGGTCTTTCCACCTGCCTATTCAATATTTGCCTTTGTTAAGTGGCGACCTTTCATCCAGAATGCTACCGTTCGCGAAGACATGAATCAAATTTATCAGTCTCTTACAATGGCCATAACTGATGCAATAAAACATTTGCCATTTCGAGATGTATGTTTTAGAGACTGTCAGGGTCTTTATGATCTGATGGCTGCAGATGCCAGTGATTCTGAATTTGCAACCTTGCTGGAGTTCAATGGGTCTGATATGCATTTAAAGTCCACAGCATTTGTTCCTCTACGCTCTAGGCTTTTTCTAAATGCCATGATTGATTGTAAGATGCCACAATCTATTTCTGGAGCTGGTGAGTCTAAAATTAAGTTCACAGATAGTGAGTCTAAGCTTCAGGATATGCTTGTGCATGTTTTGGATACCTTGCAACCTGCTAAATTTCACTGGCAGTGGGTTGCACTCAGGTTGCTTTTAAATGAACAAGCCCTCATTGAAAAACTCGAGAATCATGATGTGTCCTTAGCTGATGCTATACAGTTGTCGTCACCTAGTCCAGAGAAGGCTGCTGCTGCTTCTGAGAATGAGAACAATTTTATTCAAATACTTCTCACAAGGTTACTGGTTAGACCTGATGCTGCACCCTTATTTTCGGAGTTGATTCATCTCTTTGGCAGGTCACTAGAGGATTCTATGTTGTTGCAAGCTAAATGGTTCCTTGGAGGCCAGGATGTCCTCTTTGGTCGGAAGACCATTAGACAAAGGCTACATAACATTGCTGAGAATAAAGGACTTTCTGTTAAGACTCAATTTTGGGAGCCATGGGGTTGGTGTAGTCCGTCTGCTGATCCATTGACTATCAAAGGGGATAAAAAGAAGATTGATAGCATATCTCTTGAAGAAGGAGAAGTTGTTGAAGAGGGAATGGATTTGAAAAGGTGTGTTAGAGGGTTATCTCAAGTGCCTGATTCTGAAAGCGCAAGCAGTAACCAGCAGCAACTGACTGAGAGGGCTCTTATCGAGTTGCTTCTTCCTTGCATAGATCAAAGCTCTGATGAATCCCGCAATTCCTTTGCAAATGATTTGGTGAAGCAGTTAAATTATATTGAGCAACAAATAACTGCTGTTACGGGTGGAAGTAAAACAGTGGGAAGTGCTCCTCCTGGAGTTGAAGGTCAGCCAAGTAAAGTAAATAACCGCAAAAATATGAGAAATGTAAATGCGGCATTAGCTAGACGACCAACAGTGGCAGTAGATTCCTCTCCTCCATCTCCTGCAGCCCTGCGAGCTTCTATGTCATTACGTTTGCAGTTGCTCCTGAGATTTCTTCCTATTCTTTGCACTGACAGGTAATTAAAACTGGATATCGTTATGTGTAATTACATTTCTCATTGCATGATTCTTGCTGCACTTGAGTTATCTTTTCTGACTGGATGAATAGTATAAAGACTGTCTTGTTACTACCTAGATAGTAGAGTTACCTGTCAAGTGAGAAAAAATATGTGGTCCTTTTCTCTTTTCTTCAAATGGAGCTAATGGCAATATGATTATTCAGTTTCAGAAATACAGTTATCTATTATGTGATGTATTATCATGGTTCCCAGCGGCTGGCACTGAGTGATAATTTTTCCTTGCAACAAAATGGGTTTGACCTTTAAATTGAGCGTTAAAATCAATTAAATGAGTTAATTATGGCTTCTTTAGAAGAGAAAATATGGATATTTGTGCGATGAAGGCATTGTTTTAACTTTGTGTGCATGTGTTATGGAACTATTACATCCTGAAATTTTTTGAAGAGAAAATATGGATATTTGTGCGATGAAGGCATTGTTTTTACTTTGTGTGCATGTGTTATGGAACTATTACATCCTGAAATGTTAGAAGCAATTCTTGAGTTCCTTTTGTTCAATTTTGCAGGGAGCCATCTGTGCGGAGCACAAGACAATTTCTTGCCACTGTAGTTTTTCGTCTCCTTGGTAGCCGGGTTGTGCACGAGGATGCAGACTTTTCAGTGAATGCTGTGCCATCTCTGCCGAGGAAGGAGGCAGAGTCATCTTCTGAAGTTGCTTTTGCTACTTTAGTGGATTCTTCTTCTGGGAATCTGTTTGATCGTTTGTTGTTGGTTTTGCATGGGTTGTTAAGTAGTTATCCTCCAAGTTGGCTTAGGACAAAGCCTGTTTCAAAGACAATCAATGAATCTACAAGGGACTTTTCTGGAATTGACCGAGAATTGTTGGAGACTTTGCAGGTTTGATCTTTTAGCCTATGAATGTCTATGATTTTGGTTCCAGTCAGTTGGCCCTCAGGCAGCTTTTTAGCCAATTTAACACAATCTAATTCTAACTTACTTTGAAAAACTGGTTGGAGCAGATGAAATAACTCATAATATTATTTTGATGTGTTGGGGAGGTCCTAGGCTTTAATTAAAATGTTTGTATGTGTTGATCTATAGCTGATTTGTGTCTCAATTCTGTTAACGGGTTTCTAGATGCTATATGTATGTTAATTTTGCTAATTGGATAAGACGGCATCATGGTAATGCCAGAAATGTTTCCTCAAGACTGAAAATAATGAAATTATTGTGTGACAAGATCTTCTGCTCGCTACTTCCTAGTAAGGACCGATACTTTAAAATTTCTATATTTTGCCAGTGTTAGAAACAAAACTTTTGTCAAATGCTATGGTATGCTCTTTCTACATCATCGAAAATTGTTAGCTTCCATTATGTAGTATATATATTTTTGAGTTCTTTGCCAACAAAATGGAATATAATCAGATTTTGATAAATTTGACTTGTATAGTCTCCAACGAATAATCTTGGAGCTAAAAACTCATTTTCTTCACTTTCATCCCTCAATCATGAATGAACCGACCATTATTTATGATGAGATCTATAATATACTTATGTGTATGTTATGGTGTATCATGCCATACCTGGTTCATACTCATCAGATATTGTTAGCCATATCCAAGCTTCGTAAATGTCTGCTAAAGCTCTACAATTTGGCAATGTCTGTGTTATTACATATTTGGTTATCTAGAAATGTCATTTCAATCTTCCTAGTTGCACTTGTCTAATGTTCTGTTGTCTGACGCAGAATGACTTGGATCGTATGCAACTACCAGACACTATTCGGTGGCATATCCAAGCTGCAATGCCGTTACTGATCCCCTCTACACGGTGCTCTTTATCCTGCCAGCAGCCAGCTGTTTCAAATTCTGCTCTTGTTTCCCTTCAACCCAGCATTACAAATCCTGGGTTTAACTCCAGTAGTTCAACTGTTCCTCAGAGGAACCCAGTTCTATCAAGGAATGCATCAGGGAAGTCAAAACAACAGGACAATGACTTGGAAATCGATCCTTGGACGCTCCTAGAAGATGGTGCTGGATCATACCCTTCGGCAGGTAATACTGCTAGCATAGGAAGTGGTGACCATGTTAATATTCGAGCCGCCAGCTGGCTTAAAGGTGCTGTAAGGGTGCGACGGACAGACCTCACATATGTTGGTGCCGTGGACGATGATACTTGATTAACAATATTTTTTGTTGCTGGTGCGTTTATGGTTTGATGCATGAATGGCATGAAGATGCCATTTTGTGCTTGCCCTTGTGTTGAAGGGTCATTGTTTTGGAAAAACAAAAAAGAAAGGGTGTAGGGATGGATTCTTTGTAGAGAAGAGGTGATGTCCTCACAGCTCATGCAATGGTTGATTACTAACATGTTGATCACCCCATCTGAATTGTGCACTTGTTGCCACAGTTCAGAGGTTTGTTGTATATATAGGGATGATTGTTTTACTTTACCAATTAATCTGTTGCTGTTTCATGCTCATTTTTATGTCTATGCACGCTTGTGTGCGCATCGTTTATAGCTTTTAGGGGCACAAGCACACACAACCATTGTTACTTTCCTCATATTCAAATTGTTAGAGTTATGTGCTTGATCTTGATCATCACCATTAATTGCAACGTTCTATTATTTTGCTGGCAAATCCAGAGATAGTTGCATTTCTGCCTAAATATTTTCTGTTAGCTTTGTGATAAATACGTACTTACCTATTAAAGTTCTTGAAAAATTGATTAGGCCCCTAAACCCAAAATTCTAACTGCATCATTGGTGACGATTTCATGTTATCATAGACTAATTTTAGGGATTTAATCATGATTTTTTAGTTTAACGATCAAATTAAAATTTTCTAATAAAGTTCAGATATATTGATGTGTTAAATTATATATATAGAGGAGGGTTCAAACGACACTGGTGTAACTTTTACTAAATGTTACACCGCTCAATAACTTTATATGTAAATTTTGAAAATCCAACCGTTAGATTGAAAGTTCATATCTCTTAGATTATATATGTCAAATTTTGTTAAAATTGAACAACAACTTGAAGATAATCAAAGTGTTCATATTTTAGTATATTTTGAAATGTATATATTACGTCAATTTTGTTTTATGAGAATGAAGTATCAACTCATCTTAGATTAATATAAAATTTGATATATATGATCTAAGAGATATGAACTTTTAATCTAACGGTTGGATTTTCAAAATTCATATTTAATATAAAGTTATTAAGCGGTGTAACACTTAGTAAAAGTTACACCGGTGTCGTTTGAACCCTCCTC